TATACTGAAAGTGACGTTAAACACCAATTAATCAATTGATCGAGTGCCTTATTGTTTGCAATGAACACTGCTGTTTCTGATGGCTGAAGTCATACGCAATGCTTTTTATTTTGCTTTATGTCTATATGTTTTGCTCTTGTTTTGTTGCTTTTTATCTTGCTGCATGTTTTTATGGTTTTTTTGTTCGTGTGTGTATTTGATATAGTCGGTTGTCAGAGCTCCTTAGATCTTATGTATAATTCGTTTTGTATATATGTAAAATAGAATAGAGAATCAAACGGGGAATGTGTCAAAGAGACAACGACCCGGATAAAGAGCAGAAAACAGAACAAGGTCACAAATGGGTCTTCAATGCAGCGAGAAAATCCCGCAACTGGAGGCAGGCTTCAGCTGGCCTTATGAACATTAATGTAGACTTGTTCAGCGAAATGAACACCACAATAAACTCCAAAACATACAAATGAACCAAAATTAAAAAAACACACAAGACCAACAAAGGCTATAGGTTTCTGACCTGGGACAGACGCAAAAATGCGGCGGGGTTAAACATGTTTTGTGAGATCTCAACCATCCCCGTATACCTTTAGCCAATGTAGAACAAACAAACACACAGCAAAACGCACAGTAAAAGTCAATTTAAAAGAAGTCCGAGTACGATGTTAGAATAGGTAAGAGAAGAAACTCAGCAAAATGACAATGATAAACAGAAATTAACAAAATACTACCAGTAGTTACTGACATGCCAGATCCAGACTTCATTCAAACTGATTGAAAGATTGTGTCTTCATCATATGAAAATTAAGCACAATACCTACCGTTAGGGGTTTAGTATCATGCCATATTAAATTATACGAAAAGAACATAACCCGTATCTTGCCAACAACTGGCTTTAGAATAAATGTGTTTAAGTCCGATGCAAAGACCCTATTAGTGAAATATTCATTCCAAAAAAAGCCATCTTTAATGACTTGACAACAGTATCGTAACTATATCCCTTATGAATAAGTCTGTTTAAAGGTTTGGTTAGCTTTTGAAGTGAATGACGACATTTTTGTGCTTGTATAGAATATTACTATAAAAGATGGGATGTGAAATACCTGAAAGTATAAGATGTCTGCACGCTAATATAAATTTACGAATGATGTCCTTGTAGTGATGATAAAATTTAGTAAAAGTTTTGACGAGATTGTTATATCGAATAGCCTGATGTAATCATTTTTCAGTAATACAGAGATTTTTTTCATTAAAATCAAATACGTTGTGGCATACACTAGCCATTCTAACAAGTTGAGATATATAAACATCATACGATGGTGCCAAGGGAAGGTCACCATCTAAAAACGGATAATCAACAATAGGAAATGAAAATTCATCTCATCTCATCGTAAATTTTAGTATTAAGCTTCCCGTTAGAGATATAGATATTAAGATTCAGGAAAAGACAGCGTTCATTGTTAGTATTAGCTTGTTTAAAGTAACTTCAACAGAATTAATCTCTTTAGTGTACGTACTGAAGTCATCATTAGTGAGAGCCCAAATATCACCCAAATATCTAAAAGTGTTATTATTTTTTTTGTATCAGATGTTGTTTCGATGGGTCATTACTGATTTTAGACATAATTGTGATTCGTTACAATACAGAAACAGGTCCGCAATATGTGGTGCACAGTTAGTCCCCATTGGAATTCCGATAACTTGGCGATATACGGAATCTCCATAGCGAATAAAAATGTTATGTAGTAAAAATTCAAGTGCAGTTATAATATCAAACAGGTCCAATTAACATACTTTTTTGGTTTGTTGTTACTAAAAAATGAACGCAGAGAGTTTGAACATATATATTCACACACTGACTTTTTAGAAGCCTATTTAATTAGGTATGTGAATTTGGTCTAAATGAGATTATATGGCAAAGTGGTATATAGAGAAGAAAAGTAAAAACTTTGAACAGATTCGAAAGCACCAATATGAGCATGCAGTTTTTCAAGTACCTCCAACGAATTTTTGACACTCCAAAAGCAGTTTATTCCACTATTTTAGTAGACCTTATCTAAAAGATTTATTACCAGGTTTTTGATTGTACCAAGTGTACTGGTAAGTAGAATAGAGACAGTTTTATAGTAGATCAATGGCTTGAAGACGAAATAAATCTATATTTTTAAGGTGTTTTGTTCAGCTTAGAAGCCGGTACATTTTTGGAACTTTCATGTTACTGTGGATTCATTGTTATTCATGGTATACCAATTTTCGTGGATTTCGATGGACTAGGTGAACCACTCATTTGAATGTTCAACGAATTACAAATTTCTATTGGACTGTATACAGACTTTGGAAAAACCACGAAATCAAATGCCAATGAAAATGTATGATTTCCTCAATCCACGAAAATTGGTACCCACAAAAATAAATGAATCAACAGTAATCGGTTCTGCTTGTAAAGATGTAGAAAAAAGTTTATGTTTGTTAACGAAAATTGAGTCAGGTATAATGTTGGTGAATTTGGGATTTCCTTTTGCAGAACCTCAATATAAAATTCAATAAAAAAAATAAAGATATTATTGACAGCCTTAACAGCAGGGACAAATACAAATTCTTTGGCGAGTTCTCTTAGCTTATGTTTGATACGAAAAATAGGGCTATTATGGTTGTGGTTAGGAGTTTAATGTTCTTTAAAATGTTTAATACTAATATCTACTATTTTCATTACAGAATGGAAAAAAGAATCTATTCTTTAAAATGTTTAATACGAGTATCAACTATTTTCATTACCGAATTGAAAAAAGAATCTAAGGATTTTTTGTCAGCTTTTTACCGTTTCGTCCATTTTATACAGTAAGTATGGAGTGAGTCGTGGATGATGTCACGACACTCATTCCAATTAACAATTGACGGGGGACGATATTTATGACCTTTTCTAAGGACTGTGTTGAGGTCTTCTGTTATAAAATGGGAACTGGGGCCATGTTGTGATGTTACACTATTGTTTCAAATAAGGGTGAAGATTTGGTACCATTAACACGTTTATACTCGCTGCAATTGTTTGCACCTGTCCTAAGTCAGGAATTTGATGTTCAGCAGTTGTCGTTTGTTGATGTGGTTCATAAGTATTTCTCGTTTCTCGTTTTTTATATAGATTAGACCGTTGGTTTTCCCGTTTGAATGGTTTTACACTAGTAATTTTTGGGGCCCTTTATAGCTTGCTGTTCGGTGGGAGCCAAGGCTCCGTGTTGAAGACCGTACTTTGACCTATAATGGTTTACTTTTATAAATTTTGACTTGAATGGAGAGTTGTCTCATTGGCACTCATACCACATCTTCTTATATCCATACATGTATATGGAATTGGCAGCAATTTCATAAGGTAGGTGTATTGTCATGGATATTAACATATTTTCACAACTCGCTATAACTAAAAACACATTTTCGGGTATATTTTTTGTAAACATAACAAATAAGAGGGAGCTCAGTAATACTGTTAGTTTTTCCATTTATATCAGTTTCAAAATTTAAGGAAAAAGTACGACCATTAAAAGTGGACCTTACTGTATTGTTGGTGGATGGACGGGGACATGTAAGTCATTTTTTGGTATAACATTTATGGATAGAATGGTAACCACGATTTTTTTATTGAAAATGTTAGCAATTGTAGTATTTCTATAAACTAGTAAGCGATTTTGAAGATTGACACGTGTAGATACTATTTGAACACGATTGGTTTTAAGAAGTTTTCCGTTTCCTAGCTTCATTTTGTTATCCGTATTTCCAAATAAAAGGAGCAAAGACTGGCGTCCAGGACATGAACCAGCATACAAGAATATAGTAAGTAAAAAGCTAAAAATGTACAGCGAAAGACGTCAAGAACGATCCGTCATCAAGTACCCGACAAAATACGCAAACTACGAATCCAGAGGCCAAAAACAAACGACATGGTATATCAAGGTAGCAGCGCCTGACGTCTGACTGAAAAGAATCATGGGGATGAATAATGATATATGAGTGTTAGATAAATATGCCTAAAGTAATTAATATAGAGAAGTTCTTGCTCGGATACATACTCCATTATCTTGTTTTTATAGGAGGATTTTTGTTTTGCTTGCTATTAGTGACATTTTGCTGAGCTATCTGCTTTTGATTTAGTGCCTTATTTTTTTTTTGTTATTTACAATGCAGTTGCATATGACTGAATTTTATTTTCTGTGCTTTTTATTTTGCTTTTTATCTATATTTTCATATATATTTTTATATGTTTGTATTTACTTTCCGACTTTAAAATTTGCTTACTTTTTTACTGACTTGTTTGTTAAGAATCTTAAAATATTCAAATGACAAGCAATTCCTGAAAATATGTCTTTACTACATAATTATACCGAGAAAAGTATTTTCTTGGAAATGTTTTTTTGAGATATATTAGAGGCATTATTAAGAAGGGGTATGCAGAAATTGCAGAGGTACCCGACTCAAAACTACTTTGAACGATAGGAAATCTTACAGGTTTAAGGTAGCACGAGTGTAGAACAACTCACTTTCAAGTGAGTCTTGAGTCACGACCTCATTTAAAAATTTAAAAAAGATAGATAAAATGTAGTTGTACTGCATGCAAATGTCAACCAGTGCTGCCTCACGATTGATTTCCTTATTGCTTAATGCTAGATTAAAACATTTTGTTTTTTATATCGAATTGCTTTTTTTTCTTAGCGGATTTTTGTTTTGCTTGCTATTAATGACATTCAGTTGAGCTATCTGCTTTTGATTTAGTGTCTTTATTTTGCTATTTACAATGCTATTATTTACTTATTTACATGTTTACTAACTTCTATGTAATCAATCTAAAATATGCAAATGACAAGCAATTCGTGGAAATATACCTTGACCTCATAATGATACCGAGAAAAGTATTTTGAATTTTTGGAAATGTTTTGTTAAGATAGCCTAGAGACATAGTTATGATGATGAATTTTCTGTATAAAATACATCTGTAAACATTTATGCTATACATTTGATTAATAGATGAACTGGGAAAACTTAACGTCAAAATGTGGAAACTTATTTTAACTATTTCTCTTCTCGTGGTGTTGAATGCAGGTAAGTAAATTATTACATGCGCAAGCTTTTGTATACGGTCAAAGTTGAAATTTCAAGAATAGACAGTATGCAAATTGATAACCAAAGGGCGTGATTCGTCCATTATCCATTTGTTTTAATACACATTTAATCTCTATAACAACAGGCCTAATCTAAACATAGTACGAAAGTACGTATCATGCCAATCAGAAAACATCAGCTTTCTGAGGTAGTTGTTTAATTTCGTTTCGCTGGATTTTATTAAAATATCCAAAACTGCTGCACAAAAACTGCTTTGAAATCTTTTTTAAATTTAGATCTTATTATAACCCTCTCCAACTACAAAAGCAACAACATAGACGATGTAATTAAAGACAATATTCACATTACTACTATGAATTCTAGATTATCATTTTGTTCTTTCAATCATTATTATGATCACTGAGTGAACCTCTACTAGGATTCATGAATGATCACTTGCTTGTTATGTGTCGTTGCGTGACAGCTACGGCGACATTTATGTTTAGTAAAATACGCATAATTATCATTTAAAACTTAACAAAAACCAACAAAATATGAATATTACCCTTACCCGAGACAGTAGTGTAACATAAAAAGACACTATAAAATATCAATTGGAATGGCTTAAGGAAGTTCGCTACGCAGTTTCAAAATAACAAGCTTTTCATAACACAAGTATTTATTGATAGGGGATTAATAAAGGAACCAAAAGAGCGGAAAAAATATAGGTCCGTGTGCTTGTTTTCGAGATATTAACCATTCATATTTTGGCGGGAAAATGTTCTCTCTTGATTTTTCATAGCTTTTTATTGACAAGTTGAAGTTCTCAAAAATTATTAAAAAATAACAAAGATTTTATAAGACTTTTACAGATAGCTTATAATTATACATGTAAAAGATTTATAAAAATAAAAATGGGGGTTATTGGGCCAAATTTGTTTAGGCATTCAAATGGATAAAACCAGAGGACTATGAAAATCTGACAAAAATTACAAAACATGACAAGCGAACATCCTTTACTCGATCAAAAAGACATTTAAACAAAAACAAGTAAACATACACTGAACGAATAAGTTTTCGACTTATGAGTTTGAATGTCCCTTCGGTATCTTTCGCCTCTCTTTGATCTATGACACAATATTAATAAAAAAAAAGTTGTAGGAACCGTGTCAAAAAGACAACTCTAACCTGGAACAAAATTGCGTTAAATAAAATAACGTACACAGGTAATTTGAAATATAATAATTTTGTTGTTAGGAGTACGGAATACATGTATTTAAAAATTAATAATTTTGTTGTTCACAGTACGAGTACAGAAGTGAAAATGTATCGTTATACTAAATACTTATCAAAGGTGATACATATTAAAAATAGTGAGACGAGATATAAAACAAAATAAATAAACATTGAATTACAGAAATGCATTACAAATTGTGTCAACAGGTCAAATTAACTCGAAAGTACGAATTGAGAGTACTCGCAGCTACTGAAAGCTAGTTAAAAGCCAAAAACAATTAATAATAAAAAATCATGCATCAGAGGCAATGTCAAAATAAAAGTATCGACAGGCAGTATAAAAAATATGAATGATGTTATATATAGATAAAGCAATCTCGAAATGGAAAATAAACGTGGATGTGTATGTATACATCCCAAAAACCATTTGAAAAGAATACAAATTTAGTTATGTTTTAATTTGTTGATGACAAAATCGATGTTAGTGCCAATGTAAACAATATTCAAAGATCTTATTACAACATTAATAAGATAACCTTTACTAATTAGTCTGTTTAAAGGTTCGATGAGTATACACGGATCACATAGTGATTTCCGCGCTATTAGTACAATATTACCGTAAAATTTAGGATGTTAAATACCTTCTTTTCATAAGTTATCTACAGGTACAGCCAAATTTACTAATCAAATCTTTGTATCTATGAAAGAATTTAGTAAATGTTTTAAGTAATTTATGGTAACGAAATCCCTGACTTAATAATTTACCTGTGATGCATTGATTACGAAGCATACATAATTTTTGAAAGTCCCTTTAAGAAATTCCCATTTTCCCTAATAACATTCAAAACATGACTGCACAATTTTTTAAGAGCTATTATACAAATCCATGTTGATTAAAACTTTGATTGACGAGCTTGCAAACTTAGTTAGGATGTTTGCCTAGAGCATGTGTAGAAGAGGAACGACATTCGCAACACAGCACTCTGATTTGTCTTATCTTATCGATGGGTCGCAGTCATGTTATGTCATTGATTACAAGCAACTCGTGGTGTGATTTTCACCTGGATATTTGTGGAATAATTAACCACTAATAGTAATATAAAAAAAATATGAATATACAATGTATGCATAATAAACGATTTAGATAATTATTTGTATTTGCCGAAAACTAACCTATTCCTCTATATTATTGCTGATTATTGGAACTAATTCGACTTGGATATTCATTTAATGCTTATTTATTGATTTTCAATTATTGGTTTTAATTTTATACTGGTAAAACATAACTCTTTAGGGAAAAGTAGTAAAACTTGACATTTTTGTCGTTTGTCAGTACACAAAATCGATGAAACACAAGAGAGAACGTAAGCTGTCCAATATACAAATAATCGGCACAGTACAAAAAAAAAAGAGGCTATTTTACGTGTTTTTTTTTTATTGCATATTTTTCATTTCATCTTAATATATAACCGAAATACACAAAACAAAGGGTTTTTTGTGTGCCTTAGGTTAACTTATTTATTCGCAGACTTGACTACGTTTACGTCGTAATTGACCTTTTGACCTTTAAGTATGTTCCCATGGTCATTTCTAAAGACCTCATGTGTCTATCACTAACTGTTCTCAAGTTATAATCATTTGAAAATAAGAAAAATTAAAATCCCATAGGATTCTATAGTAAACCCATCTTTTATTTATGCCCCTCAAACTATTTCTTTATAAACCCCATTACACAAACCAAACCCTGATTGCACCACTAGACATGTTAGTCTAACATATTGTGGAACCCTAAGTTAATCTGACTAATGGTTTTGGAGAACGTGTGCGGACTAGTTCAAATTTAAAAGCGGCAGAAGAAAAAGAAGAAGAGGGAATAATAATAATAAGAAGAAGAACTAAGCAAAACTGAGATGATGGAAAACACTAACCAAACGAATGGTATTTCTCGAGACTTGTGAGAAATTCCTTGACTAACCTTATTAAAATAAGACTATATTAACTGGTTGAAGTTGAATTTTGTACTGCAGATACATCACTTTTAAAGGATGAGTATTATAATGTTTCAAAGTCAAGTTTCGGACGTGACACAATATCATAAAAGTCATTGTCCAATCAAATCGTTGCATATTGTAAACAGACTGAAACTCCGCCTAATCATTGTCTCCAAATATGAATTTTCATTACAATGGTTGAAAAAATTTGCTAGGATGTCAACACAACTTTTGGTCAAATTGGATTTGTATAACAGCTCTAAATCTTTTCTTTACCATGACTATCGTGGACTGATAACCATCTTATACAATACCGATAATGATAGCTTAGATTGTATACAGCGAAACTATTTGACATATATATTGTCACTCTTCTTTATATATTACTGTCTGTATAATCTTGTAGGTAGCGGCATGTGTCGATCTTGTAGTAATTGTCCGGATAGTGAGTTAGTGAATTGTTTCGTTAGTCCATGCCTCAATCATAAATGTCCATGGAACAAAAGGTGCTGGTAAGTATACATCTGGGCTTCTTCAAAAATATGTGAGGAAATGGATATATGAAATTTACAAGCAAACAATATACGCTATTTGATTTTTTATACTGATTTTTCGTTATTTTTAACTGAAAAGTAGGGGAAGTAAAACCCTTGGAAAAATGTTTGCAGTCGCCCATTGCATCTGATGATCTTATTCCGCTGCGACCTCTGTTGTTTATAATGTCTCTTTTCGTTGAATTCAAATTTGTATGTTTCCGACTTGATATAGCTTGAAAGGTGTAAAATTTTAAGTTAACTATTTCTTGCCGAAGGCAAGTTCAAGTTAATTTTCACTTAATGAAAAAAAACTATTTAATTATCTAATTACATTCTAATTTTCTTACAATAATTCAGAAACTATTCGAATTATAATTTAGGAATGACTGTAATATTTTTTTCTGTCTATGAAGAAATAACATCAAAAATGTGGTGCACACTGAAAAACACGCGTAGCGGGTTATTTAAAAGTGTGCACCATATTTTTTAGGTTATTTCGAATAGACAGAAAAAAATGTACAGCCATTCCTTATAATCTAATTCTAAATTCCATTTTAAGGTGTAAATCATGAAAAAAACGTTGCTGGCGTCAAGGTCACATGACAAAATTATGTCTATGAGCTAAGAGATAACAAACTTTCAGCCAATTAGCTGAAGACGTGTTACATCCAAAATCTAATTATTTTGGATTGTTTTAAAAGTAACTGTAAACAGTAACACAATCAAAGGTGTTGGGTTTTTATGTCTTGCCGTCGATGCAGATATATTTATTTGGTTTTCCAGTGGTTTTGTTTTTATTTAAGTATAATTTTGGGTATAGATCTTTGCATACATTTAAGGTAGATTAACTGTATACCGCCATTTTAGATTATAAAATAGCAAATAATAATGGTCTAGTTCTTTTTTAAATCTGCAAATTTTGAGACAGATAGGCAATTAATGTTTAAGACTGTTCTCCTGAATAAAGAAAAATCAGTACTTTATTGCATTATTTAGATTGTTTTAACATATTCCAAATATTTGTGTTTGTTCGAATCAACTTTTCAACTTAGCAATTCAAGGGGAGATAACTCAATTACTAAATGTTTTTTTTAAAAGGAATGAATTTTTTACTAGTTACAAGAAAACAGGTTCACTGACAACATTTTTTATTTCTATTTTCTTAAAGCATATTATAAAACCTATCTTCTCTTATTTTGTATTTCAAAATTCTATCTCATAAATTATTTTTTCACGACTATAGCTTGAAAAAAAGAACGGTGACACCTATTTTTTATTATATTTTTGAAAAAAAGCATGGTAAGATCTATACATTAATGCAAAGTATAAGAAAATTCTATCCGAGGAAATATAAACAGATGATACACCTTAAACATCTGTCTTTTTTATATTTGATGTAGCTTTTTATAAGACCTGGTTAGCCATTCATTGCTGATTGATCTTAAACTTGGTAGTTTGTATGCTCTGGGTGTCAGGTTAAGTTTTCTGAGATCTGCTCCTCAATACCAAGGTATGACTTGATGTATAGAGTATATATCTATCAAACTTAAGTGGCATGGTATGTCTGACTTTTCATTAAATAAAAAAAAAATTCATATGATTTTGTGATACTTAGTTTTTATACATACATAATTTTTTATAAAGAGAAATAACTCAGAGTATTTAGTTTTAGAAAATGATCTATACACTTATGTGTTTCATTTTGTAGCAACTAAACGAATACGTTGACCCTAATTTTTCCGTTTATTTCATGAAGGCTTCATGGGTGCAATTTTTCATATTTTATTTGTAAATTTTATTTTTTAATTGATTTTTGTTTTTCTCTAAACAACCTTATGTATTAACAACTATTAATGTTTACATTTTAATGCATTTGTGTTAATGCAATTCGTTAATGCCTTTTCAATTTATTGTAATCTAACCAAGATATAATTTTTGTATCCTATATAACTGATATTAAGTGCCTAGTACAGCTGTTTTATTTGTATAAACTGACACCAATCTTTAACATTTCTGATTTGGTTTGTTTCAGTGAAAACTACTGTGGAGGATGTTATTACAAGTGTATCTACTGATGGTATGTCTTGTGACATGTCAACATTTATTTTCCTCTACTGACAAAAAAAAAGTATTTGAAACATTTTTCCAACCATGTATACGTACAAAAATAAAGATTTTCTTTTTCTGAAATGTATTTATTTGTTCTTTCTATTCAAATCCTTTCATCAAAGTTGATGACTTTGTTCATTTATAGTGAGTCATCGTTTGACTACGTTAACGTTTGCACCAATGTATTCATTGTATTTATTACCTATGCAAAACCTTTTAGGATTATAGCTTCCCAATAGCAACGCTTCTAAAAAGCATTAAAAATAAAACCGAACTCCAAGGTAAATTCAAAAAGGGGGGAGTCCATAAAAACTGACAAAATCAAACGTTAGACTTTATCAACCAATGGAACGAATAGAAAGCAACTGTCATGTTCCTGTTTTGGTACAGGCATTTACCGAAGAATGTATTAATAATTCATCATTTATGCGATAGGCACATAAAACAAGGAATGTGGTTAGGTTATACATGTTAACGAGCGCTCAAACCTGGTCATAAGATTGGACAATGGTGACACAACACAACATAGGAACACATTGAAAAAAGAATGTGTGTCCATGTTCTACCCGTCCGCACTATCACTGCTCCGTGAAATCTGGGTCAAAACCCTAATGAGGCAGTTTACTTCATATAATTGATGTAACCAAAAACTCACGAGAACCAAAACTTTATCCTGATACAGAAGAGAAGGACTGACGCACAGACCGGAACACATAAATCCCACCTTCTATCGTATGCCTACATATACATCAGTTGTGAATAGTTTGACTTATCAGATAGGCACGAAGAGTATAAACTTTAAAAAAAGAAGACAAAACTCAACAAATTACGAATCTAAGAGTACTAGTATATACTTAAACCTAGTTTCAAAGCCAATTACAACTAACAATTGACAAATACATGTAAAGTAATAATATAACTTTATAACCCTTATAATTAATACATTGTTTGCATTAGATACAAAGGAAACAAATTATCATACCGTTAGCCGAATATAATGATATTGGTGTCTCTGAGGGCTAGGAAACTTGTTCTGCTGTATACATGCGTATTGGTGACTCACTTTCCGAAGTTAAAAATTCATTTGGTGACTATGGATAATTCTTCCAGATTAGTGCCTATAAAACAAATTTGATATTATATGTCTTAATATATGTATTGGTGTAATAGTATGTAAAACTGAAGTAATATGAAATATTTAAAAGTAAACACCAAGCCTAGCAGCAGAGTCGATGAAACATACATGTACTGTGTGATTTATTTCTAAGCTGATTTAACAAAATAAATATGACGATACATTGCAATTCATTCTTTTTTCATCTAAAGTACCATAATCTTACTCTTCACACATGTTAAGACATATAGCGGTGTTTCAAAATTTCAATCAGATTATAAAATAGTACAAGTAGTGCAGTCTGCTTGCAAACTATGACTAATGTTCCATCATGAGTTGTTAATTATTAAAACGAAATTGCCTATATGTTCTTTTGCTGATATCTCGGGCAATGCTGTAATACATATTGTATGATCTTCCATTGAATAAAATGCATAGTTTATCTACAGAATATAAAAAGTGAAAACAGTTATGCATCTTGAATCTATACATGTATCTATTATCATTTATTTGGAAATCGCCAATGGCAGTCAGCAGGGTTTAAGAACATCCGTTGTTCGACCTGTTAGTCAAATGCGTTTTGTTAAAATATACCTTTTCACTTTATTGGTCTTGGAAAATGTTGTTTGTGCTGTATTTAGACCCCTCTACCAAGAAATTTGTTTTACATGCACACGTATAAAAATTGCGGTTTTTATCCAACGCAATCATAGGTATGAACGTTTTTTTCAATTTAGACTTGTTTCTATTATCATTTATAGATACAATTAATAAGTATGTTTTAATTGCATATTTTATCCATATCCTTTTATTCATTTGTTCCTATGAACATTTTTTTTTATAAACACCTTATATAAGTATATGTTTTGTAAGGGTTATGGTTAGGGTTAAAATATTGATGAGCAACTCAAACAGCCATGATAGGTTATTTTGTTATGTAAAAGACATTCAACAGTACAAATGAGATCTAACCAAACAAATTTATATTAACATGTACAATGTACAATTATGAAAATGCATAAAAGTCTATATAGTCGATCACCTAAATATTGTGACATCATGATAAAACAAACCCTATTTTGTCCATAGGAATCTGTTCTAGCATACCTGTACTTCTTCTTTAAAATATGTCACACATGAAAATTGAATATTCTTACATGTTTGTTATCACATGTACCTGGTCTCTATGTGTTTTTGAATAAGCAAGTTCTACTACATTTACATTTTGTATAATGCATTGCACACATTACATTTTATTGTTTTCGTCAATATTAAGTGGAAACTAGAATAAAGTATCAAATTAAGAATACACACACATTGATGTGTACATCGGAACACCCTTTTTTAGTGAAAACCCCCTCTTCTGTAACCCCCAAAAAAATCTGGATCACCGCTTTGTATATGGTTCATGCATATATTATGTAAATAAATATTTACCTTGGAGGGAATGTGACTTCTGAACATTAAAATACTGTTAATATCTGGTTTTGAACCTTTCTGTGAATTCCTGTTGGAGACCAAAATGGCTATGCTAGATAAATGTCTTGGTATCTGATTATTCCTAATACAAGCAATTAACAGCATGAACTCTGTTACCAATGGACATGTCTGTTTGAGTTTATGGTAAGTTCTCTACCATAAAATTTGTTTCCATAGTGTTTGTTCTTAACACACTCTGATTTACTTTAAAATTGAGAATGGAAATGGGGAATGTGTCAAAGAGACAACAACCCGACTATAGAACAGACTACAGCAGAAGGTCACCAACAGGTTTTCAATGTAGTGAGAAATTCCCGCACCCGGAGGCGTCCTTCAGCTGGCCCCTAAACAAATATATATACTAGTTCAGTGATAATGAACGCCATACTAAACTCCAAATTGTACACAAGACACTAAAATTAAAAATAATACAAGACTAACAAAGGCTAGAGGCTCCTGACTTGGGACAGGCGCAAAAATGCGGCGGGGTTAAACATGTTTATGTGATCTCAACCCTCCCCCTATACCTCTAGCCAATGTAGAAAAGTAAACGCATAACAATACGCACATTAAAATTCAGTTCAAGAGAAGTCCGAGTCTGATGTCAGAAGATGTAACCAAAGAAAATAAACAAAATGACAATAATACATAAATAACAACAGACTACTAGCAGTTAACTGACATGCCAGCTCCAGACTTCAATTAAACTGATTGAAAGATTATGTCTTCATCATATGAATATCAGGCACAATCCTTCCCGTTAGGGGTTTAGTATCATACCATCATAAGATATATGAGAAGAACATAACCCGTGTCATGCCAACAACTGGTTTTTAAATAAATGTGTTTAATGCCGATGCAAAGACCCTATAAGTGAATCAATATTAACGCCAAAATATGCAATCTTTAATGACCTGACAACAGTTTCGTAACTATATCCCTTCTTAATAAGTCTATTTAAAGGTTTTGTTAGCTTCAGAGGTGAATACTGACATTTTTGTGCTTTATAAAGAATATTTCCATAAAAAATTGGATGTGAAATACCTGAACGTGTAAGAAGTCTGCATGTTGAGCTATATTTACGAATGATGTCCTTATACCGATGATAAAATTTAGTAAATGTTTTGACTAGTTTGTGATATCGAAAACCCTGGTGTAATAATTTTTCAGTAATACATAAATTTCTCTCGTTAAAATCTAAAACATTGTTACATACACGAGCGAATCGTACAAGTTGAGATATATAAACACCGTAAGATGGTGACAAGGGAACGTCACCATCTAAAAATGGATAATTAACGATAGGAAATGAAAAATCATCTCTTTTATCATATATTTTAGTATTAAGCTTTCCGTTAATGATATAGATATCAAGATCGAGGAAAGGGCAGTGGTCATTGTTAGTATTAGCTTTATTTAAAGTAAGTTCAACAGGATAAATTTCTTTAGTATACATACTGAAGTCGTCATTATTGAGAGCCAAAATATCATCCAAATATCTAAAAGTATTATTAAATTTGTGTATTAGATGTTGTTTCGATGGGTCTTTGCTGATTTTTGTCATAAATTTTAACTCATAGCAATACAAAAAAAGGTCCGCAATAAGTGGTGCACAGTTAGTCCCCATTGGAATTCCGATAACCTGACGATATACGGAATCTCCAAAGCGAACAAAAATGTTATCTAGTAAAAATTCAAGGGCATATATAGTATCAAAGCATGTCCAATTGACATAGTTTGTTTGTTTATTGCTACTAAAAAATGACCTAAAAGAGTTTGAACATATATATATTCACATTCTGACTTTTTAAATGCCCATTTAATTTGCATATTATGTGTTAGATGTAGTTCCTGGTTCAATTGTTTGTTTGTTGTTTGAAAAAACTGTCCTTTTTACATCTTCAATCTGGCGTAAATGGTTAATTGTTGTTTTGTAATGGCAAAACACCATTGCTCAGCCAGTTTGTTTGATCCATTTGGGAAGATTGTCTTAAACTGCCTTTTAATCTCGAATGTACATGCGGTACAAAAACAATAACGACATGTAAAACATGTACACATTTGAAATTCACATACACTTTTCACGCACAAGAATAAATTTGTATGTCAGAATACCCCCAAAACTATAAGCTGATGAAGAGAATTGTTTTAGACCTGACGAATGAGATGTTGATGTTGTTGACTGCTTGCATTTGTTATGTACTTTGCATATGTGTATACATTCTCTATGTGCCTGTCTCAAGTCAGGAGCCTGTAGTTCAATGGTTGTCGCTGGTTATTGTCTGTCATATTTGTTTTTCGTTAAATGTTTTGTTATAGATTAAGTCGTTAGTTTTCTCAAATGAATTGTTTCATATTTTTCATGTCGCGGGCTTTTATAGCCGACTATACGGTATTGGTTTTTTCTCATTGTTGAAGGCCGTACGGTTGCCTATAATTGCTTACA